TTTTTTTTTCTCTTCTGTATTGAAAGAAAAATACACATTAAGGATGGCAAGAGAGACAAAGGGCATCCCCTTCTGGCCTGAGACCCAGTCATTCCCATCTCTCAGATTTGATCTATTCCCTGCCACACTACTGTGGGAAAAGAGAATGCCATTTCTTCCCCCTCCACCTCAGGCATAACCGCAAGTGTCATGTGGTTGTGTGCATGATGTGTACGGATATGTATGAGCACAAAGCAATGCAGCGTCGCTGCTGGAGCCAAGAGAAAAAAGAAACCTGCTCCATGTTGCCATGATGCTATTTACACCAGCAAACACCACTCGTTGCGGTGACCCTGGAAACGGGACTGAGGATGAAAGGAATTTTTGGAGCCATACTCCAATTATAAACGCCCCAAAGGAAAAAGCTGTCATGTCGAAGCAAATGAACCTTTGCTGCACTCTTGCTCTGCCTGCGCGCCCATGGGCTCAGCAGGGAGCAAGGAACAAACCAAGCAGGTAAAACACAAACATTGCATGCTATGCAAGGCACATAAACCCTCCGCTTATTCCCGATGTTTTTCTTAATGTCCTGTTCATGTTAGAGATGAAGCCATTTCCTGACACCAGCTTTCCAGAGGTCGTGAAGTTAAAAAAAAAAAACCCCAAACTTCTCTTAAGCAATTGCTACAAAGAATCAGACTCTTTGTGTATGTTTGTAGCTTGTTTTTAGAAGCTCATTATAAATATCTTGTTTCCATGGGAATAAGAAAACAAATGTATTAACTTTCATTTTCCAAGTGTTACAAGTTCAAATGGTCTGACTCCAATTAAAGTATGCCAAGGATGATCTCTCAGCTATTAGCACTCTTCCCTGGGACTTACTGCTCCAGAGAGTTAATGCAAACCTAGGAAGAAGGTAAAATACTGTTATATGCATTAGAAAACAAGCAAACAAAAAACCCAGAGAAATACAATAAAAAGAGTGTGTGAACAGTAAGAATCTCCATGGCTAAATAAGAGAGTGGACATGCAGATTAAAGCTTTCTGACARGGAGAAATGAAGCAAACACAAAATGGCAACAACAGAGACAAAGTAGGGAAAAAAGGGCATTTATGAAAATAGAGCATGGGTAGCTACCTCAATGAAAACAGCAAAATACTCATAAGGTGAGTGTTCATAGCATAATTTCTAAAAAATTTCTGTGCTTGCTTACGACATAAAGAAACCTTTAYATTTAGAAAGGACACATTCTTTTGTGCAGTTCTAAGTTAAGCTCTGCTTCTTACAGCAAGCAGGACCACTCCGCGGCATCATCCTCGGGGGCAGGAACCCAGGTATTCACGCCACACATGTGAATGTCTGCTTCCGTCCCTACATTTGAGCAGGGGCTGAATACATTARAAAGAACTTTAGGAAGCTTTCCACCTTCTCCCCTCTTTGATGGGGCTCTTGGTGCATCTGCTGCAGCAGTCAGACCAGCACATTCCACACACCCCCTTCCTACACACCCCACACTACACACAACCCTTTGCCTGTGTCAAACATTTATCTCTGCAGGGCACTGCGCGAGGGCCACCAACAGCTTCCACGTAACCTCTTATCTGTTTTTAAGCCTCCCMTCTTAACCTCTGAGCTCCAAAAGTCATCTGTTAAGAAGCAAGCACTTGTCATTTAATTTTACCAGATTGAAGGGAAAGAAGATGCAAACCCAACCAGAAAAGCTTCCCACTTCTACTTGTGCTATTTGTCTTCTATTCCCCCGGACAGGACACAGATCTCAGGGGTTTGGTTTGTAAGGCTTCGGTAGTCTAATTTCACCACTGGGCATCTATCTCAATAGACCAAGGAGTCAATTAAAACTTGACTGCACTATCTCACGTGAATYGGAGGACTGAGGACTGAGTATTTCCTGTATTAATTTGCTTTCCAAGGAAGTCTCATCCATTCAGAAGACAAATTCAGACAGAGAAGGAATTTTTTTTTTCTTAAACATATTTTATTTATTTTCCTTAACTTAAAAAGCGGCTGGAGTTTGCTTCACCTGTCTGGAAATTTTCACTTCTGAGGAGCAGCCTGCCAGCCCGAGAACTTGCTACCACTGATGTTTTTCAGTTTCCAACACACAGAAGSAGCAAATTATACCATTCCTGGTAGGTTCTTTACTTTCTTTCTCATAGCTTCTCTTATTTTTTTTTCTCCTCCCCTCAGAGAACAAGGAAAATGAGGGAAGCAGCTCTAAAGAAAGGTGCCAGCAAAGGGACCCATRAAGAAACCAACTCCCACGGGCTTGTCCTGCGCCCGTCCTGCACGATGGGGTACAAGGGGCTAAACCCAACGGCTTCGTGTTGCCCATGAGCGCTGTCAGTGC